AAAAAAAAAAAAAAAAAAAAAGGCTGTAAATGTGGATGATAACAGTTTCCGACGATTCAAATTTAAGAATTCAAATTTTGATTTTTTAAAATTCTGAAGCAAATGAATAACTGTTGGGAAGAAAGTGAGTATTTTGGTTGTTCCTTTTTTTTTTTTAAATTTAGAAAGAGGGAGGACAACTACATTTTTTTTTATTTTTTTCGTCTTCTTTTTTTTATATGTCGTATCATGCTTCGTTACGAGGACTTTCCTCGACAATACTTTTTACTCTCTCATGTTGCTTCTTTATAGCACATTTATATATTTATAGTAGTATTAGGTGTATTTTTGTAATTCTAGGTCGTATTTCTTAGGTCTTCATCGCTGGTTCTTTCCGACATCTATGATTTTTTTTTTGTTGATAATAACATGATTATCATTTGATCTTATTTGTAGTTCTTTTTTGGAGTTAAAAGTTGTTACCTTTTCAGTGCGAGTAATATGGAGAAGGCATTACAATTTGAGAAGATTACAAACGAATTTTTTCTTTTGGTCAAAGATTACATTCGCCGGTATTATAGGCCAAACAGTAATGAGGTAGTTTTTTAAAAGTGCTTATTAAAGGCTTTTGTTTGTCTTCTATGTTTATTGTTAAAACAATCAGTAGGTTTAATGCACAAGCGATCAGTTTTGGTTATGGTAGTGTTAGATAATTTGCAAATTAAAGGCAATGAATATAATTTTTTTTAGGGATATCAGAAGTATGGCATTCGTGAGTTGCAGTTAATGGATGAATTTTCTAAAATTAAAGCTGACGTTAAGGCGGCACTTTGTGATTCTATTGACACACGTACTGCTATTGAAAAAATCCGTGAACTTATCGGTTTGGGGAACGCTTACATTCTCGAAATGGTACTGTTTTCATTTCGCTTTTTACCGTCTGCTCGTTAATGAATAACATTGAAAATAGTGTCTCTTTACATCTCTTTGTTATTTATTGAAGGAGAGACAAGGAACGATTCCAAACTGTTTGTTATTAAGAAATATTGCCGCTTACATAACATGGTTGTTGAAAGTTTTTGGTGCTATTCCTTACGGCTACGAAATTGGATTTCCAGTGGAAACAAGGTAATGCTTCGTGGAGTTGAATTTTTGTCGTTTTGCTAAAAAACTGATTGAGGGTTTATTGGCTGTATAATGAATTTTTTTTCATTTTTTTTAATTTTTGTTTAAACTAGAGAAGCTTATTTAGCGATTCAATTTCTTATGGCGGTGGTCCCAGCACGTCTACGGAAGCTCTTCTTATGCCATATCTAACAGCACTAGCTGACTTCCGAGAAAAAGTAAGAAATATTGCGCGAGAACATAAGGTTGCTGGCATTTTAGAGGTATTTGTTTTGAACAATAAGGTATTTACATTTCTTTCACTTTGAAATTCAAGAGTTATTTATTTAAAAAAGTATAGGAATGCGATCGGCTAAGAGATGAGATTCTGCCTGAGCTGGGTGTTCGATTAGAAGATCGTGCGTCTCAAACATGTGTTAAATTGGTGGACAAAGAAACGATTTTTCGAGAGCAGCAACAAAAGAAAGCTCTTGAAGCAGGCAAAGAAGCAGTAAGTTTCTTTTAAATGATTTTTGTTGATCTCATTCTTTTACGTTTTGTTTTGATTTTTATCTTTAAATGGTTTTGCCAAGGGGACATCATTTCAGGAACGCCAGCTTAAGTTGAAAGAAAAAGAGGAAAAAGCGGCGAGGAAGAGCATACCGCCATGCGAAATGTTCAGGGTAGGTGAGGAAGCATCAAAATATTCTGAATATGACGAGAGAGGTATTCCTACACATCTTGCAAATGGTGATGAAGTCTCTAAAAAGCAGCGGAAGAAGTTGGAAAAGCTTTATGAAGCAAGAGTGAGGGCATGTGAGAAGGTAGCTATATTAGAATTCCTCATTTCTTGGAAAAAAAAAAAGAAGTTTTTGTTTTTCTAGGTCGTCTTTCAATTTGTTTCAGGTAGATTGTATAGTCAGTGAAATTTTTTGTTTGTATATTTCAGAAAACTTCCTAAAATTGACGCCGAGAACGTTCGTTGTTGGTTCATTGGCTTGGTAATGGAGACTGTGCTATTTATCATTTTTTGCTTCTGTTGGTTCCTTGTAAAAGTTCTGTTGAGAGCTTTGAAATTTCATTGTTATAAATGGAATACATAACCGCTATTTGCATTTCATAGTTCTTTCGTTTGTCTTATCGCAATTGCTTGGTGTTTCATTTTTTCATGAGTTTTTGCTTTTACTTTTGTGTTACGCATCTATTTTCGTTTATTCTTGTGCGGTTTCACATTATATTTTTTCTAAAGTTGTGTAGTTTCTCAGCTTTTTGCTATCTTCTTTTTGTGTTCTAGTCTACCTTCACCAGTTAATGCTGATGGTTAAAAAAATTTTTACGAGCTATACTTATAATTTGGTTTTTAAGGTGGTAATCTTATATTTTTCCTTCTATCGCATTTTCTTTCTTTATTTGTATATGAAGGGCTTAGAAGCTGTCAAGTATTTGATTAAGTAAGTCATACGGGAGTGGTGTGAAGAAGGAGGCAATGGCTGGGTAATCCCTAATTTTAGGGTTGAAAAAGAAAAAGCTGGAAATTGTAAAAAATTGTTCCACTTTATCTTTTTTAAATTGTTATTTTAATTCACAGTATTAGTTGGTACTTTCGCTCCTCACTGATTACGCTTTTTTCTTTATTTTGAATGTATCATACAGTTTGTTTCAAAATTATTTTTGTTGAATTTTTCGATATTTAGGCATGTATTGTAATGTAATTCAGATAGAGGGGAAA